GACGGCAACCACGCCCCGACAGCTTACTGCCATGGTACGGGGTCCGATCCAACGGACGGGCACTTGACGCCGACAGCTCCTGCCACTGGACTGGGGCCGATCCCAACGGAACGGCACCACGGACGCAGGACAAGCCTGCCTGCCGACGGGACGGGTCCGGGATCCACGGGACGGCACCACGCCGACAGCTCCTCCATGGACGGGCCAAGCCCAAGGAAGGCAACCAACGCCGGTAGCTCCTGCCAGGGAGTCCCGCCCGCTGAGCTGCCTTGGGACAGCTTGTCCGAGGCAGGTGTCAGCGATCAAGCCGCCGTGAAACCTCAAAGAGCGCCAGGAGCGGATGGCGGGGATGTTCACGTAGGCCATCCAGACCCCACGGCACCTACAGCACCATCTACCCTGTACGCCAGCCGGACTGGACCCGCCAGCCGACCCGGCACCTCCCACGACGGGCGAGCCACGGATGCCCTCGACTTCGTACCGGCCAAGCCCAGTCCCGCCGCTCCCGACGGCCCACGCCGGCCAAGCCACGGGCGCCTGCCCCCCGTCCCGCCGCTCCCGACGACCCATGCCAGCCCACGTGAGTTGACGACATGGAATGCAAGATTGCAGGGCTTCGTCGAACTCACGAAATTCAACCTGCTTCCTGTTAGCGACCAATACGTCTGGCTGCACAGCCTGCTGGATAAGACCATTTCGTCTCTTCCGGTTGTCCCACCCCTCGGGACGAGGACACAACACAACAGATGCCCGTCCCCGTCACGGGCCAGTTAGCGCTTGGGATGAATACGGGCTACATGCTTCGCCGAGCAACGAAATATGGGGCATGGCCGGTCTCTGTGAACTCAACACATGCAGCCACCACTGTCATTTTGGCCATTTTGAATGGTGCATGATAGCGCCCACAGGACTGCGCGCCTTATTTTATACTTCCTTTCCTTGCATGACATGGAAATGCACACTTACTACGCATTTTATTTGACGTAGCATACATTTATTTGCCTAACCACGACACTCAATATTAGCCTTAGCGCACTTGTCCTAAAGTTAAGCTGGGTATCTTACTACGATAGACATCCAGCCTGTTAGCTGGACGAAGTTAAACGGATTAAACTGTAAATCGTACTCGCGTGCGAAAAGAGATGTGTTGCACACACTTCCAAAGCCAAGAGTGTTCGCTAAATCCGATTTATCTTCCCGCCCTCATTGAAACACGGTAGCTGTCATACATGAATTGTTTCAAATGTGAAAACAGCCATAACCTCGGGGGGGGGGGGGCAGCGCTGTCACACCACTTCGACGCGATCTTAAGTTACGTTGGTCACACTTTCCAGCCGTCATTCCTCACGGGGGTGGCTAAACGTCAAGTGCACGATTTTTACCCAGCAGTCATCCACAGCCCATCAGTGTTGAGCCATTCGGTGCAACCCAGATGAACGCGGGATCAGGTTCATTCAACCGCATCAATCAAACGTCAAAGCAGTGACCAACGGCATGCCTTCCGTGCCCGAACATTGCACCTACTTAGTATCGAGTCCGAGTCCCGATTACGTCACAAACAGAACAGCTGGCAGAGACGCTGGTTGTTGTTGCTACCCACCAGCCTTGGCCTCACACGTGGCGGCTGATCAGACTCGGGCTCAGGGTTGCCAGATACGGAACGGCTCATATCGCCAAGTGTAGACAGAAAGTCGGCAGCTTCGTCACCAGGCTGACTGGGAATCACAGATTTCCCGTTCTATACCATTGGTAAATCAGTAAAACTGAGCGTTGCTTGTGAGCCATCACTGCGGAAGTTAAAAACGCCAACGTGGGTTGCCTCAATGCCGGCATTTGGGAAATATAAACATTTGCAGTAGGAGCCGCTCTATCAGCAGATTGCCGGCTATGTGGTTCCCGGGCAGAAGACCGATGACTTGTGTCAGGTGGCACGGTGATGGAGTCGCTGGCAAAGGTACCTGTTTAGTCCGACATCATATCGTGGTCAGCTGACGCCTGGCCAGCTAGACCGGGGCTGTGGCTGTCCGCTCAGCTGGGATTACGCCACTGGGTAGAGGACTCGGGCAACAGGCACTGCTTAGTATGCGCTGGAGGCCAAAGCTACCAAGCTGCAAGCCGCTCTAGTAGCGAATTAAAAATGAGTAAAATCCGCGAGACCACAGACTATGCATTATGGAAGCTGGCTAATAGGATTGCCTCCTTGTTTCTGTATCTACTTTAACGTTTTAAGTACAGTGGAGCGACTTTCTGGACATTCTCAGCAATCACCAGACTTATGCCATGTTGTCGTTAATAAAAAAATGGAATGTTTCCTAGTCAAGTGCTTTGCATTTTCCAGTACTGCCAGCCCCGCTTGTCCTGCGGACGGGTACGGTCGAGTCAGCGCCGGATTTAGTGCTGACATGCCGGGGTCGTCCGGCTTGGACCCAGGGTCCGGGTTTACAGTAATATGCAGCAGAGCAACAAAACATTAAACACACTGATGCGGTGTCAAACACGGCCTTGCCCGCCTAACTTGGCGACGGAACGGAACAGCAGGGACCGCCGATCACTATCAACTACACAGACCAAGAGACGTGGTAAAGGGCGAATAAAGGGCATCGACTGGGCGTCGGGACAAGGCTTAGGGATACGGGTCAGATGCCATTTGTTGATAACCGGAAAATAAGCAATCATTTGAATTCCAAAAGGCAGTTTTATCCGTAACAAATTCTGGAGATCAGGGATACTGCCTCCTATGCCTGGTCTTATGATTCCGGTGTATCTTTCGTAAGCACCAGCTCCTGGTCCCTGGATCCTAATGGTTGTTCTTGAAACACCGCAGCCTGGTTCCTGGCTTTTGATGGTTCCTTCGCAAACACATACGTTTCCGGTTCCCATAGGTTCTTTCACAAACACCCGGACCAAGCTGGTTGCTTATTCCCACTGGTTCACTGGCAAAGACCAAGGCCTGGTTCTTGGTTTACATTGGTCACTCACAAATACCAAACTATGGTTACTGTTCCCCAATGGTTAACTCGTGAAACGTCATCCCAGTTCCCGCTCCTCATTCACTTCTTCGTAAACACCAGCTCAGGTTACCACTGGATAGTTATCTACCATTAAAATATGCCCCGAAATCAAGAATGTCTCGCAAATGTTGCGCAATATTTACTTGTGCAATATACGTACTTCCAGCGGGCTGTCTGAACATACGCTGGTTTCCTGATAAGGAAAATGTTTGTTCTCTCTGATTTCCTTGACTTTTTGATGGATCTCGATTCTCGTTGGATCCCTGCCAGAACTCCAGGCTGGATCTGGGCTCTTTCTGGATCTCTGGATCTCGAAGAACCCGCTGGACCCCCATTCCATGCGGATCTTGGTCCTGGCTGCAGACTTCTCAGCACAATTTCAAGCCAGTTCTCGGTTCATGCCAGATCCCTCAGCTTAATGTCAAGCTTGATCCTGGTTTTTGATGGATCTTTGGTTCGATTTCAAACGGGGTTCTTCCTGGTTTCGGCGCCAGAAACTGGTGCACTGAAAGACAGCTTAGGAATCTCGCACATCATTTCTGTTCCGAACAATGAACCGCGTTGACAAGTCATCACCGGCGATCTGGCTCCATTCAGAGCAACTGTCACCACCCGACCGAAGTGTGATGGGGAAAGCTGTTCAAACCCGCCTTACCTTACCGGAATCCACCTCCTGACGTCCTCGTGACACGTAGCCGTGATAACACGGACCGAACTTGAGACGATCGACTCGTGCCGCGGAGGGGCAGCCCGCAGCGCTCACCGCTCACCCGCACCACCCCTCACACCGACCCGGCGCTGGTGCTGCACTGGCGCGCCGCGGCCGGCGAGGCGGCGTGCTGCGATCTCTCGCCGGACCCGCCCGACCAGTCCACGGCCGCACCGCGACTCAACACAGCCGCACCGCCGGGAAAAGTGGGCTAAGGCGCGCCGCTCCGACCGACCCGCGCCGGCGGTTTTCTGCTGTGCAGCCGGCGCGGGCGGCAGCAGAAGCCGGCTGAGAGCGGGTGACGTCACCGTCGTCAGCTGGCAGCCTGTGTGTTACGTCACGCACTGCCATTTGTGTTGGTGCTTCCGGCGTCGTGGGAGTGTCTGGTGTTGTGTGCGAGACTGAATTGCATGGTTCGGTAACCGCCGACGGCACTGCTGGTCTCCGTACCTTTTCTGTGGCCTGGTAAGATTTCGCATCGCTCTATCGATCTGAAAGTCGTCACATTGAATTCAGCTGCGAATTTTCAACGACTCGTATCGCTCCCTGTGCCGTTCTGTAGGTTGCGTCATGGTCTCAGCGGGCGTACGTGTATCCAATTTGCCTAGATGGCAACACGATTCTATATATATTTGTATAGGTGGCAGCACTTTTGATATGGCAGAATATATAAACTGACGGTTTAAAGACAAACTATGATATGGTGCTGCCGCGTACTCATATTTGCGGAAGAGGGTCACGACGACCGACTTGAATTAACGCTATGTGGTGACAATGGTGGATATAATCTGCCATTTTGGTGATATATGGTTATCGGGCGGACTCGCTCATGGTCATCAAGCGTGCATTCAAGGCGTAAATAAACTACATTTGTAAATGTAGCATGCATAACTAAGACACCCAGTAGAAATCATTCGCCATGTGTTATGTCCAAGCAGAGGTTTCAAGACTCTCTTAAGCAAAAACTCGATGTAAGGTTGTGGACATGGAACAACGGCGTCTTTGGTCATCTCGATTATGGACGAAATATCGCTGCGAACGAGATACGCTTGAACACAACAAGGGAATTGCGGAGAATTGCTCCTGTCCCGTCACCATGGTTCACTGCAGTCAACGGTTGTCATGGCGACTACCGCGCGGGCCGGGTCATCGCTGTCCATCCTGCCGTGTTCCGACTGTCGGGGGTTAGTTGATGGCCGCCGGTCCGGTCGGCGTCCTTGGCGGGAGCACGCGCGCCGCTCCGGGCGCCCGGAAGTGGACCGAGAGCGGCCACTGGACGGGTCGCGCCGGCAGCAGTTCCACGCAGCAACCGGCTGGTGTGTACGTGAGGAACGGACGTGCTCCCAAGCAGCGGCAACCAGCCGCGGGCCAGCTGGCTCCGGCCGCCTCCCTGTTATGTAACGCGCTATCGTTCGGTGCCCTGCGATAAAGTGGACCCAGTCCGGCCTGCACTTGCTTGCTGCACGTCGCTCTGACAGACGGCTTTCTCTGCGACCAGTGAGTATCGCTTCGAGTGAGTGAGCTCAGCCGCCGGGTTCAGAACGAGTGTCATGAACTCCATGGTGGAGTCAGCTGTGTGCAGCCATTTGTCGTGGTGGTGTTAATGAAAGTGGCAAGGCACACGGGAGTGGTGCCGCCAGAGAAGCCAGGGACCTGATCACTCAGCCGTCTTGAAATATGACGCTGACAACGCTGTCGGCGCGACAGCGTTGTTTCCAAAACGCGAGCTTAAAGCACGTGTTCGTCGGTGCCGATGGTCTATGTTTAATTGTGGTGAGGTCCATAAGTGCTGTCCGGCTTGGTGCCAGCCATCGCTGCCGCGGCTAACGCCAGCTGGAAGCCTGCAACGGTGCATCGGCGAGAGACCTTGGGCTGCTTAGCACACAGGACGTATCAGAGACGGTGATGCCTTATTGCCGTGCTCGCACCGGTCTTACGGCGCACGGCAGCTCACGTGAGGTATAGGGCTGGTAGTCCGGCCTCAGTGTGAGGGTGTGCGTCTGCCCCGTCCCCGCAGTGAGCCCGACCTCAGTGTGAGGGTGTGCGTCTGCCCCTTCCCGCAGCGAGCCCGGCCTCAGTGTGAGGGTGTGCGTCTGCCCCCTACCCGCAGCGGGCCCGGCCTCAGTGCGAGGGTGTGCGCCTGCCCCCTACCCGTAGTGAGCCCGGCCTCAGTGCGGGGGTGTGCGTCTGCCCCTTCCCCGCAGTGAGCCCGGCCTCAGTGTGAGGGCTTGCGTCTCCCCTTCCCCGTGGTGTTGTTTCAGCAGCAGAGCTGCGCACTTGAGGTGCTGGACTCGGCGGGAGGGCTGACCGTGTCCCACCGCTCGGCAGTGGTGATCACCGCCGCCATGAGGAGGGCCGCCTGGGTACTGGCCGCCACCGCTGGCGTGGTGGCCGGAGCCGCCGCCTCGCAGTCGGGGCCCGCTCACGTGATGTACCCGCTGCTGCACGTCCATCCGGCCACGCTCAGGTGACCACAGCTCGTCGGCGGAGGGCGGGGCGTGCGGGTGTTCTTATGCGAAGGGGAGGGGAAAGCTGCGGGATCGGCTGGCGTTCAATTTTGATTGTGCTATGGTGGCACAATGTCAACCGTCACTGTGGTGACAGCGACGTGTGAAAAAGTGGCCACTCCAAAGTGCGTTTTCTGAATCCATGCGTGAGAAAGCAAGAGAGGGAAGGGGTCGGACATGGCCTGTGTCCGCCATGAAGCCTTTGCTTCACACGATGTGACAATGCATCCAAAGAATGATTGCCGGAAAGGGCTTCGTCCTCGCACTTCTGGGGACGTTGACACGCCTCTGACGCCTGATCCCGCACCTCCGCCCACACGCGAGCCAGGGTGCAGGCGGCGCCCGCCCCGCCCGCCACTGAGCGAGTCCTCTGGAACTTCACCACGGTGGCCGACCTTAGCGACTGGACGGAGAGCTCAGACGGCACGGAGAGGGAGGTCGGCATGTCTACCGGCGCCTTCCACCTGCAGGCGAGTAGGGCTACGGGGGGGGGGGGGGGGCGGGGGCGCGGGTGACGCCCCAACTTCGGTCTGACGCTCGGAAGATGAAAGGTGTCACCTGGTGTAGGGAAGTAAGCCGGATGAGGCCTCAGAGCCAGGAAAATGGCCTGGTTACCTTGGTTTTTGGTTCTTCATGAAATGCTGAGCCGGCACAGATAAACGACTCTGCACAAGTTTACGGATGGCCAAACGATCAAATGGAATGACTTCGGTCTGCGGTGATTGTCTCCCGGCTCGAGCGTCTCCTGTCTATAACTCGTCGCAGTATGTCAGTCCCTCGGCTCTCCCACCGATGTACTCCATCGGTGCTATCTGCGGTCAGGGGTCGTGCTTCCATAGTCTTGGCGCTCGTGCCAACACTGACGTCTCTCCTGCGCCCCGCTCCGCAGAAGACGGCGCGTTTCCAGCGGGCCGTGCTCTTCTCCCTGCTGAACCCGCAGCCCAACGGCGCCGGCTTCGTCGGCTACTACGCCAACGGCACGTGGGACCTGTCGCAGTTCAAACAGATCAACGTGCGGGCGCGCGCCCAGGGCCAAAACTACCGCTACAAGGTGTACCTCAAGCACCACGACCAGTTAGACCAGGGCGGCTCTTACGAGTCCTTCTTCGAGGTGAGGCACCACACGATCAGCTGCTGTCACCCTGGCTCAAGTGCATCTGGCGAGGAACGGCCGGCTAGAAGCCTTACGTGCTTTGTAGCTCGGTCAGGCAGTAATGTTCTATTTGCAGGTCGTTTTCGAGTTTGCCACCATCGGACGACATTGCGACGTTTACCTCTCCGATGTGTCGTATCGTGCACGTTTGTCGTATGCTGTGACATTTCTGGCACGCTTCCTTGCGAACAAGTGTCTCGTAGTGGCCTGGCAGCGTGCGGTCTCAGCCGGCACCGGTCTCCCATCCGCCGGCCCGCGCGGCTCCCCACCAGCTCATCCGACCCCGACCGCGCCGTCTCCGCGCGCCGACAGATGCCGCAGGACAGCCTGACGACGGTGAGCCTGCCGCTCGACTCGTTCGCGTTCTACTACCGCGGCCGCCGCGTGGACGACGCGCCGCCGCTGGACACCGCCGCCATCACGCGCATCGGGCTGCAGATCTACGGCGGCGTGTACCAGCCGGAGAAGCAGAGCGGCGTCTCCTCGCTCGAGGTTGACTGGATCACCGCCTCGCAGTGACGGACGGCGCGGCGCGGCCCGGGCGCCGCCAGCGGAGCGCCGCCGCTGTGGCCGCCGGTGCTGCTGTCACCCTGACGTGCCTCAGATAGCCACATCGCGCGCCCTGACGCCGCTCACCTGCTAGGCGAGGCCCCTTTTTAGTGACTGGCATTGGTGGGTTCTGGGGACTTCCTGGTAACGCTGATCGGCTATTTGCAAGCTAGACGACAGGATCCTATAGTCTCGCCGGTCGGACGGCAGTGGTTCGCGGAACTTTGTGTCGTGCATGGTATGGAGGTGTGACCGTAGCTTACAAGTAGCGTCAAATCTTGTCTTTCTCCTTACCGGGAACGTTCAACATGGCTGAATAAAATGTACGGGAAAACGTGTGACATGTGACGAGCCCCGGCCCCAGTTGCCACGATCCTGCACATGAGCCACACAGCTGGCGCGTGGACGCGCAGCCGAGTGCTGGATGGAGTCACGAGCCGCTGTCAGAGATGACTCGGCACCGTTATGTGTTGACCAGGAGAGGCGGTTCAACAGTGGCTCCACATTTATTAGCCAGTGACTTCACTCTCAGAGACTCTGGAAGTTCCCTGCCCCTCCACAGAACTGGCAGACTGTGTGAGGAACTGGAGCAACAGCATGTGAACGGCACCATCCCGCTCAAAAGCTCATATAAAAACAATCAAACGACACCTGTCGCTTGTAAGAGCCGGGCACTGTTTACGGCAGCGTTGCCGTCCGGACACGGCCGGCCGCCCGTCCGTCAGGTCGGCCCTGGCCAGCTCACTTGTCGCCCAGCAGTTCGGCCGTCTTGGCCTTGAGCATCGTCTCTGCAGACGCCACATACTGGTGGGTCATCGTCGTCACCTGTGAACGGCAGCAGTGACGTCACACGTCAGCGGACAGCCGCTCAGTCCGGCCATCACCTGCCAACAGGGGTTGTGTGACGTCACACAGGTGCGCAACGCTGGGTTGTGACGTCACACATCGGTGGGCGCGTCAGCGGCCAATGGTTGGATCACTGGAACACATAAATGGTGCGACGCAAAACGTAAAGAAGCGTAAGTGTTGAAAAACAAAATATCACGTCAGGCAAAAATAAAAACCAGATGATCATAGGCCAGCAGCTTGCGACACAACCCACCGATACAGAGAATGCCATACTGGAGATCGGTAGCATTCGCCACGCTTTATTTACGACAGCGATCTTTTAGTGAGAGCTAGCAAGACTGTCTATGTCATTGGTTCTTCTTACATGTGACTGCACGTTGCGTAAAAGATCCTCAGAGACGCTATCGTTTTTCTTGAGGGCTCTTAGCTGGCCGTTCTGCACGTCTTTCAACTTATCCTTGGCGGTGTTGAAGGCCGCCTTGGCTCCTTTTGCCAAGCTTTCACGATGTTCTCGTGTTACCCTGGAAGCACAAAAACGGTATCAGCACGAGGAGGCCATCCAATTAAAAGTCTGACACGTGCTACGCTAGCACAGAGGGAAAAAGAGGCACAGTCAGTAAATTCAGTCATTATAGTGGTCGAAACATATCCTACAGCACTGACTTCACATGACTGACATCTAGACGGGTCGGCCGCCGCTGGATGTAGCGAAACGCGAAGACGTCAGTAGCAGTAAAACTCCGAATCTGATAACACCTAGCGAAGCAGACGCCCAGCCAGCCACGAGAAGTCATCATCCGGACATCGCGCCCAACCGTCCTCACAACGAGCACCAGTCCTCTCTCGGACTGCCGCTCGGCCCGCCTGGCGCCTACTTGGGGATCTGGACGTAGACGGTGGTGCCCTCCTGCTGCGGGTTGAGGCCCATGCCGGCCGCATGCAGGGCGCGCACGATCTCGCCGACCGCCTCGGGGAACGCGGAGCTGTTAATGACCACCAGGGTGGCCGACTTGCGGACGACCTGGGCCAGCTCGTTCAGCGGGTACTGATCGCCCTCGAAGGACACCGGCAGCAGCTCGATGCTGCCTGCAGCGGACGGCAGCTGCGGTCATGGGCCTGGGGCCGAAAAGAACGAGGACGAGGCCTCGGACAAACGTCAGCAGCACCCTGCAGTCCGCTTTTAAACGGTCTGAGAGAAAAGGGCAGAAGTTTCTCCAACGTGTGGGGGAGGGGGGGGGGACGAAGCGGGGATAATGCGCCAGAGCACGAGAAGTGGCAGCGGTCACACCATCAGTAACTTTCGAGCGAGTGCTATGAGACTGCTCAGGGAGAAAAAATCGATGTGCGTTCTGGACGATAACGGTCACTGAACGCCATTCTGTCCATGTCACACGCACAGGGACCGCGAGGCGTCACTCCCGTCCCAAAACACAGACGCAAAAACAAAACGAAAGACACAAAAAGACCGCGTGCCTACCCGCATGGACGCCGCAGAAAACGTCAACCCCTTACCACAAGAGGGACACTGACCAATGACTAAAGCAGCCTCTTCCGGCACTCACACCATCTCTTCGGACATGGTTCGTGATTCCATACCGATCGACGTGCGGACGGACAGCTGTTTGACAAAGTTGTCCCTGAGCCGCTCCACCACGGACTCCAGGCGACTCTTGAACGCGTCCACGTCCAGCAGCTCCGACATCTCGTTTTCATCCACCCTCATGGACGTTTTTCCTGGCAATACAAAGTGATGAAAAAAGACACAAATACCATTGGGATGGAGGATACATGCTCCAACCTAACATGTTCAAATTCTAATGTAAGGTAGAAGCAGATATCAGCCCAGGGCATAAGTAATGACCTATTTGCTTGGCACACAGAAAATCCATGTGTGATCAATATCTCTAATCTGTGGTGTAGCAATATCTTATTAGGCATCCTGAATGTTGTTATGTTTGTATACATAATCTTACATTAATAAATATTGCATGCATGTTTAAAAACACATACATACATGTAACATGCTGCAATCACAACCTTTTAGCAGCTTCCAAAAAATCAATGTAAATATGGTAACAGCCATCTAATGCTGACAATAATGAGCTTGTAGCTTACAAGCAAACAGGCAGCATCACTAAGGTCACCACAAATCCATAACAAGACAGGGCAATATTGCCAAATAAATTGTCATGTAATTATAAGTAATTTAGTATAAAATAATATTTACCTTTGATCTTTTTCTTATCCTTTCCTTTTGCATAATTGTTGGCAGACAAGGAAATACATCTCCTTATCTCAACCACATCATGATGATTTCTCAGAGGTGACTGAGTTAAAGCAGATATACAATACATTTTCTGCAGATGATGATGCTTCAGAGCAGCTGCATGACACAGTCTTGTGTAGCTCAAACAGCAGCTACGAAAAGCTGACTTCCCTGCAAATGTAATCATCTGAAAGGGGCAGAGCTATGAGAATATGAATAAGTATGCACATGGTCACAAACATAAATGCATGTCCGCTCAATTGTACAAATATTGTTGTTGTCACAGAGGCATTACTGTGCACCCAGCTGCTGAGACTATATTATGCCACCTGCTCTTCAGCCTGGCAGTTAGAGCAGGTACTACAGGTATTTGATTTTGAACCTCTGGTTTCCCAGACCTGCAGCTTGACCACATTGCAGTATTAAGCACAGCACCTGCAATGAACAGCTGACAGAAACACCAAAAAGTTACTTGGTGCAAATTAATGATATTGTGAAATCAGAAGCAAATTAATGATATTGTGAAATCACAAGCACCATTCACTGTCCATTTGGGAATGAACTCAGTAAAATATTAGATAAAGTGGGACATGTAAATCAAATCAACCCACAGTGCAAAAAACCCTGATTTCAAGCACTAGCAGAGCTTTAATATTTCAAACCAATTAATGATATTGTGAAATCAGAAGTGCATACATGAACCACATTTGGGCATGAACTCAGTAGAATATAAACATAATGGAACATACAAATCAAATCATACAACAGTCCTGAAAACTCTGGTCTCAAGTGTCAAAAGAGCTTTCATATTGTAATGCAAATACAATATGTGTGGGTAATCTTTTCATGGAATGACCAAACTAATCTTGTTTGACTCTCTTTTTGAGCACACCCAAATGCATTTATCTCCACCAGTAATTAATGCACTACACATTCGCTTAGCCATACTCTGACAAATTGTACAAAGCGCCCTAATATCGGTAAATTATGGGCACAAAACCTGACGACTTCTTGTTTAGAATGACCACTTGGAGAAATTATCATTTCTCAGCTTCAACCTTCCCTCCGGCCTTTTCCATCGCTGGCAGGGTTACGACACTCACTTGTGCAAGTGTTCTGTTGCCCCGCCTCTCCACACACCACTCAATTGTAGGCAAGCAACCAAGTTTGCACGAGGGGCAACTTCTATACACTCTGATCGTTAGACAGCCTTGCTCTGGTCCAATCGCCTGTACGTCTGAATATCGCCGTAAATGTAACAACAATGGGCAGCGGCTTATTTTGATCAAGCTAACCAAAAGCCGCTTTTGTAAGCATAAATTATGGCCTCTCTCAACGTTAATTTGTTTTTGTGTTCTCTGAGTGGTAATACAGTTGGTTTTGAGCAGACTGCACAAGAACGTGATTGCTGTCTTGATTACAGTAAACATTTTTGTGAGAGGATGTAGCAAGGCCCGAAAACGGGTTGTACAGCTCGGTGCCGTGAAATGCTCGGGGCGGCTTGGGCGGTCGGCAATGGGATGGAAGGAATTTGCAGAGATTACTAATGAACTCATCGTCGTCATAGACCCATATCTGGCTGTCGTACGCACCTTGCCTTTGCGCTGGAGGCGGAGGCTGGAGAGCATAGAATTGAGATCGGTGATTTCATTTTGTCAACCTTTCGTAGTTGTTTTTAGACCAAGCATTGAGGGATTTAGCAAACGTGCCGCTTAGGATCACAAATTTTATTGGTGCCAAGGCATGCATAGGCTGTGACTATTGAGCAGCTAAGAGCTGATCAAACACACTGATTTTGATTTACATTGTCAAATAGTTTGTATTTATTTGTGAAATTGGTCCGAAAGCATGTCCTTACTCAGGTAAGAAACTTTTTGCCTTTCATCCTTAAACTTGTGCCATGATAGCTATGCCTGTGTTGCTTGGTTGGCCTGTCCAAAGGTTGCGCATTCACATAAGAAATTGTATTTAGACCTAGATAGGGAAGTATGCTGTAAGTTGGTGCATATTTAAGCTCCTGTAGATTGGGATTAACACAGCTTGTAATTCTTATGGATAAATGCTTGCCCATTTAAGAGGACAGCTATAATGATGTGTTCTGCAGCTAATTTTCTGCCTGGTCATGGTGTTATGAATTAATGACTCATATACCAATAGACAGTTTCTGACATTGTTTTGATTTTTCCATGCATGACAAATATGCTTACAACTGATCAGTGTGAGGTGGCATGTTCAATGGTTAGAAGTTCTCATGATAGGTGTTGTGGTAAAGCATGCATGATAAGAACAAGGGCAACTAAGGTGACAAGTGTTTGGCTTAAGCTGTTACTTGGTATTTAGAATTAAGTAGTACAAAATCTTGTTATCTCTTTTTTCACAGCAGGGCTGTTTTTTCACATCTTTAGCTTGCTTATATGTGCACATACATTCCAGGGTTAAGGTGCAACACATCTTTGACTGTTTTTGCGAAGTTTCAACATCACATGATGGTGATCAAAGGACACAGATCATCCAGAAGTTCCCTGACTCATTCCAAGAAGACAGCATCCTTGATATGGTGCCAAACTTCACATATCCATGCACCATTGAAAGGTTTGAATATATTTTATGATTGCTTTTTATGTTTTGAAATGTGGTTTTGCACATAATTTGAGTTCAATATCTTTGACACAACTTTAAATGTTACATCCTGCTCATGGTATACTAAAGATGTTTAGATATATGTCCTCAACATTTTGGGGTAGCCATCCTCAGAGATCAACCCATGCTGATCTTGGTGACTTGAGGGGTATGGGCATCTGCTACCTATTAATGACACCATGCATGTGGCTTGCCAAGTATACATTTATTGACAAAGGGACCTAATTATCTGAGAGGGTAGGTCTGGAGTGGGGTCTGTATTGTGGCATCCTGGAATTGCATGGTGCAGTACAGATTATTAGAGGTCCTCAGGCTGAATTGCTAAGTCAAAACCTTACCTAAAACCTCCTGAAAAAGGTTTGAATAGATATCTTGAGTGGGCCTTTTGTAGCATTTTTTCATCCCTCTCCTACCCAGCCATCAAATCCTTTGACCCATGGGGGGGGATGGGATACAGATTCCCCACATTTCACATAACTTTAACTTCAGCTGTATGGTTGTGATGTGTGGCAGAAAATGGTTTTTAGATGGGGCATGCTCTCCCTATGTTTGGTGACATTTCTACATCCCATACATTTCATTCTACATATGCAGCACAAACCATTCTTCCCTACTCTGCAAGCAAACTGTGGTTTGGTTGATGTAGTATTTGAAGCAGGAATGTGATATCTTATGACATTAGTGTGTATATCCTTACCAGCAAACTGCATTACAGATTACCACCAACACCAGCAAACTTCTGCCATTTTATCAGAACTTGGTAACTCCTGGTAGATCCTGTTCATTGTCATTGCTGGCTTTCATGAAGATTGTGGAGGTATAACATGCAGCATGTGCAGCACCATGCGCGAATTAGAAGAAACATGCATTTTGAATGTTATATTAATGCCTCATGTGGTTGTTTCATACACATAAACACATTTTTGTCAACACTTTGCAAGCAGCCACCTTATGCAACCTTTGTTTAGATGTGTCATGATTTGGAAACCTACACATGCTCACGGATGCCCAGCATGGTACGCCACACTGCACACCCTCACTGACGCGGCTGGCGCGGCGTGCCCCCAGCCGCGCTGTGGAACACTTCTCATTTGTGCTGCTGAAGGACCTGGAGTGGCTGTATGGCTTCTGCCGACACTCTCCCGACGACAACACGGCCGTGGTGCTGCTGAGCGCCCTGCCCTGGCATGATCTGCTCTACAAGTAAGCACCCGTGCAGAGTGGCACCCTCCTCCCCATTCAATCAGTGTGTATCTGCTCTGTGCTCGAATGATCGCTTGTGTAGATGATTGGGGGCTCAAATTATGTGCTAGACATTTGTTTTCTGGACGCACATTAAAGCCAACAGTCAGATGGTGTCATTTAAGTTCAGTGGATTGTGGCGGGGATTTGACAGGTGTTGGCAGGTACAGGTTACAAGGTGTGATGGTGCGATGTGTTGCTGGTTGCAGCAGGTGATGGTGTGATGTGTCACAGGCTGCAGCAGGTGATGATGGTGTGATGTGTCACAGGCTGTGGCAGGGGATGATTGTGTGATGTGTCACAGGCTATGGCAGGTGATGGTGTGATGTGTCACAGGCCATAGCAGGTGATGATGGTGTGATATGTCACAGGCTGCGGCAGGGGATGATGATGTGATGTGTCACAGACTGTGGCGGGTTATGATGGTGCGATATGTTGCAGGCTGCTGGACCGGCTGCGGCAGGTGATGGTGACAGGCGGCCAGGCGCTGCTACAGGCCACGCTGACGACGCTGTACCACACGCCAGTACCTGCGGATGGGGCGCGTCTGCACGTGCAGCTGCCCGACGGCCTGGTGAGTCAGGTGCCACATCCACCTCTGTTTGATCCGCCTATCCTTGTAAATCCTGTCCCGCCAGCCGAAACTCTGGCGATTTATAATCGGCGTTTCCTTAGCAGTTGTATGTGCACGATGGTTTTGCCTAAATCGCTCTTTCTTACATTGTAATACATACACAAATGTTTTAAGTACGTGAATATTGGTGTTGTTGACATTGTTATATATAAACAAATGTCTAAAATACTTGGATACTGGTGGACAAGGACTTGACACTGTGTGAATGTCTTGCGGCATAAGCTGCTAGTCACATGGCAGTAGGAAATCCGCGTAAGATATGTGATGGCTTGGGTTGTCGGCATCGGGTTGCTACTTCCCTTTTCAAATTATGTAAAAGTGACATAGGTTTACAGACCCAGCTCCATAATTTCGTCGATTGAAGTTAGCACCGTCCACTAACCTGCTGTGACATTCGCAATAGGATCGTGGTAGCAGTGGCGCAGCCTGAATTTGCGATGGGAGGGGCTGTCATGATTTACGACGGGGTGAGGCCCAATATTTTGTGAGCGAGTCAGTACCTGCGCACTGTATTGTCAGCACCTATACAAAGCAAACAGATCAACAGACCTCACAAACGCTTATAAGTACAATACCTAATCGATGTTGGTCTGCCCGAATTCTTTAAACCCTTGTTTCAGCTGCGCGCCGTACATGTTTACTCGACTATCCGTTGGTGTTACTGCGAAATTTCGGCTGTTGAGATCTACACGTCGCTGGCCATGGAAGTGTGTCTGAGGATTAAATCGAAAACAGTTTTCCTATTCCAGCGGTTGTGATCTCAGTTTGCAAGATTTGGTATAACCTTGGCGTCGTCAGCAGTCGGCGCGGTCTTTAACTCAACAGCGAGCTTATCAACTGCAGCGGGTGCCACGCGCTCTGTTCCACACTCCGCTGCTGTGCTGACTACCCGCGTCCGTCGCAGGCGTTTAGCGGCGTCTGCCCCGATCGACACAGTCTGCCTGCGCTGCTGGAAGACGTGAGTACGACACTAGCAGCCGTGTGAGTCGGCCGCTGCCGGAGGATGTGCGGGTAGGGTGGCCTGACACGAGTCTCCTGACCCTGGGCGGCCGCGGCGCTGGGTGCCTTTATTTGCCGGCGCGATCCCGATTTTGGATCCGTGGTATGCTATTTTCCGTCTTCATGCGAGTCGTAGGCTCCCCATGCGAGCTGTTTCCGTGTGCGTACTCCACGGCAGTCCCGTGAGGAACAGGACCGGGACCCTTCATCCCTTCGCCGACTTAGCCAGGACCGTTTTCCGCCCGTTCGGTGCAGCGCGTCCATTCCGCGGTTCGCAGCTACGGCTGGCATCCCTTCCGACAGCAGTGTGATGTATATGTGTTGGCAGCTGGGGCGGGTCGGAGACCTGCAGGGCACGGGCGGTGCGACCCAATTTGTTGGGATGATTCATTGTTATTGGTGTGCTCATTCACGCAGGATCTGCACCGCTGTTTTTGAAACGTAATTACTATGTCACTAGTGTAGCTATAAATGTATGGTTTGTGTCGTCCGCGCGCTCATCAACGGATGATATTTGTGATTGTGGATGTATTTTGAACACTTGATTTCCGTCACCAGTGCAAAGCTGTTTTTGTCCAGCAAGAACCGCTCAGGAAAGCTTTTTCAGTCTCGTAATTTGTGTGCCGCTGCACGCTATCGTCGTGATATTTCTGCGGTGCCAGTAAGGCATTAATCATCGGTGTGGTAAAGACACACCCGCGTGGAACAGTGTATGGAATGTATGACTCATGGCAGGACCGGCGCGTTAAAAGCGCCGGCTCGGACGGAAAATGACGCTGCTGCCATCTGTCGGCAGCGTAACCTCACCGAATACTGGAGTGTGGTGGACGACAGCGCCATGGTGGAGGTGTTCACCGCACTGCTGAACGAACGCCACGTGCTGGTGACGTCATCCCGAGTGTCCAGGCTGAGCGCCTGCGTGCAGGTGAGGGCAGGCGGCTTTATCACACGCTCAGAGTGCCCAGGCGGTACTAGCGGGATGGACGGACCCAGATTGGTGCTGGCAGTGACAGCAATGAGGTATATCCCGCCCTGTTGTGCAGCTGTGCTGAACTTATTACTTATGTATCCATTTGTCTCCTGCTCGTGTCCTCTTTAGAGCTATCTTAGCTGTAATTCATACTTGATATTGTTTTACCTCATATTCAGGCAAAACTTTTGAACATAATCCCTTCCTTACTTGCCCACGTTCGGCACACAGGTTCCCCCCACTTAACCTGCGACGGCGGTGATGTGATGTGGCGTCTCCTCGCGCCTGTGACCGCCGGTCTGACCGCCGGTCTGTGACTCGCGCCTGTGACCGCCGCCGGCTTCGCCACTGAGCCCGGGGACGTGCCGCAGGCGGCGCAGGCGCTGCTCTACCCGCTCTGGTGGCAGCGCATCTTCCTGCCGGTGGTGCCGGCCGCCCTCAGCGACTGTCTGGCGTCGCCCGTGCCGTTCCTGGTGGGCGCGCCGGCGGCGGTGGCGGCGCGGCTGGAGCCGGCCGAGCTGCCCGACGGCTGCGTCCGACTGGACGCCGACACCAGCTGCCTCTCCTCGCCGCTCGGCGATATGCAGGCCCTGCCCGCCGACGTGGTGAGCACGGCCGCAGGCGGGCACAGGCGTGGGGCACGCCGCAGAGGGAGAGGGGGTGCCGGGCGGGACTGCGGAGACGGTGCACAGGGCCAGGGGCCGTTGTTACTGGACAGCGGACAGTGCATGTATGTGTATTCTTCTCCAGACGACAGCGACCGGTCTCCGTGATTTCATCACCATTTATTCATGGGATGTCCAGCTGCTCGCTCGGTGAATCGCTGTCGCCGCTCCGTGCTGAAAGTCACAACGTGGTCGGAAAGGCAGAGTGCTGTATGTCAGTTTGGTGGTTACTTGATGCGGATTTTCTCCTGATGGCGGGGTAATTGTCTAATGCCGTTGTACCAATACTTTGCACAGATGGCTGGGGCAAATCTGTTTCGTCATTTCACTGACTGTCAGTCATGGCCAGGCGCTTCAACCCAGCACTGACAGGCTTGTTTGAAAGTCATCGGTCGCCGACCGTCGCGCTGGTGAGCTGTGACCCTGCACCCGCTGTGGCGCCCCTGTACACGCTGACCCGTGTCGCCCTCGGCGCCAGGCGGCCACTCTGAAGCGCCAGCTGCGCCACTCGGGCTCCGGCGACGGCGTGTCGCGCGCCTTCCAGACGGCCGTGGTTCAGCTGGTGGGCGGGTACCGGCACGGTATCAGGTGGGTCCGGCGCCGCCGGCCGCCCGGCCACGCTTTGGCCCGCAGAAAGCCGTTCACCAGCGCCCTGGCGTACTCTGTCAAAAGCAGATCCCGTTTGTGTACATCCGAAATAGAAGAAGTAGTCGGGCTGTGTATGCGTGCTCAGCATGTGTGTTGTCGCTGCGAGACGCCGCTGTTGAGCTGGACGGCGCGCTTGCAGAGTGCCGGAGGGCGGCGGGCGGGCGACGTTCGACGAGGACGCGTTCGTGCAGAGTCAGCCGTCCGGCCGGCGGCCCTTCCTGCGCTCCCTGATCAGGACGCAGATGTTCGAGCGGGTGGGTGGCGGCCGGTGGCGGGCCCGGTCGCCCCTGAGCCGGCGGGCGCCCCGCAGTCAGCGGCCGGGACGCTCAGACCGGGCCGCGCATTCGTGGGCACGCCCCGGCACGTGTGTATGTGTGTGTGTGGTCACGGTCCTCGCGCGCTCGTGTAGCCCGTGCACAGGGCGACCACTGTTCATGCTCACTGTCACACCGTCCGTCATCGTGCAGTTTGTTGCAGGTGCTTTGGGGCGCTTGTTCATTTGCCGTGACTCGGAAACAAGCGCAGCAATTTACGAGCTCCTAACCGCCATTAGTTATGCCTGCTTGGGTCGGTGCATTTTTTTCGGCGCGCTCATTCTTGTCAAGGCATGGCTCGTTGGGTGTTCATCGTCCCGGGGAAAAGAGGTCGGCATTCGTGAAGGACCGAGCGAACAGACACTGTGCTCTGTCCTGGACTGACGCTGTTCTTGATGACGATATATTTTCACTGATGCATATGCATAATGATGGTACATGATCATGCATGGTTCATGATGTTGCAATGTTTTTTCTTAGTCTTTCTGGCTGTCCTCAGCTCACCATCCCGTACTGACCCGTCTGTGTGGGTGGTGTCAGGTGGTGCGGACGGTCCGCTTGCCCGGTCACTGCGGGCCACCACGTGGCCGCCGTCTCCGGCTGTAGGAGACTGCCGCTTCTGTCGCAAGACGGCCCGTGCTGAGCGGCGGCCGGCAGTGATCGGGCCGGGCGGGCCGCCCACAGCATCTGTCGTCCCCCACACACCAACCACAAACGATGGTGTGCGCTGAGCTGGGTACGAGCCGATCCCGGTTCACAAGTCCGTGCTGGTAACCCATCCCCGGCTCACTAGCTCTGGCTGGGTATCCCGGCCCGGGCCAGTCTGGCAAAGGTTCGCCAGTGTGTGCTGGTCCGGCTCCAGTTCGCCAGCACGTACGGGTTCGTGCTGACCTGAGCTGACCGCGCTGACTTCCTCCCGAGCTGACCGCGCTGACCCTGAGCTGACCGCGCTGTCCCCGAGCTGACCGCACTGACCCGGAGCTGATCCCGCTGACCCCCTTCCCCTCGAGCTGACTACGCTGACCCCGAGCTGACCGCGCTGACCCCGAGCTGACCGCACTGACCCCGAGCCGACCCCGCTGACCCCGAGCTGACCGCACTGACCCCGAGCTGACTGGACGTGCGGGCTGCAGTTCATCGGCGAGCGTCTGGAGCGGCTGCCGGCGGCCGGCGAGTCGCCGCTGCTGCGCGACACCTCGCTCCGGCCCGGCAAGAGCCCGCTGTCGGCGCGGCTCTGGCTGATGTCGGCGCTGTGCGGCCGGCGGCGCGCGCTGGGCGCCGGTGCCGGCGGCGCGCCCCACCGGCCGCCGCCGCCGCCGCCGCCCGCTGACCGGCTGTCGGTGCCGCCGGCCGGCCTGACGCGGTCGGTGCCCTCCTCGCCGGCGGCGCCGCGGCCGGTGACGCTCGGCATGTCGGCGCCGTCGCTGCTGCAGCCGGAGCCGCCCCCCGCGCCGCCGGCGGAGGCGCTGGTGAACGGCGGGTGAGTGGCGCGCGTAGGCGGGTCGGCCCGCGAAGGAGCGAGAGGTGCAGATCGGCGTCCGTTACCTCCGGTGGCGTGGGGAGTGGTGGTGCTGGGCGGGTGATGTGGTTAGGAAAAGTCTTCAGATATTGACATCGACAATGATCGGCTTGTAGTGCGCCAGGTGGAGCTGTTTAATGTAAAGAACAAATGCGAATTTTTGATTGAAAAGACAGTACGTTCCGGCCAGGGCTCATCACCACGAATGGTGACTGGTATAAAATGAGCGTCGTTCGCTCCTAGAGAGACCGATCGTACTAACTCGGATTTCCAATAGCGCTTCGGCCGCTGTGTCGCTTTTTTAAAGAAGTTGATATTCGTCGAGAGTTCTTGGCGGATAGGTGGGTACGTTGTTCGGAGAGGAAACGAATCGGAGACCGGTTTACACACACATAATGTGCTTGTACATCGTTCCTCAGACCCTGCGAGGAGGCTCGGGTGGCGTCGGTGACCTCGCCCGGGCCGGATCCGCTCGCCGGCTTCTCACCGTCGGTGGGCTCGTGCCTCATCGACGAGATCAACGCGGAGCTGCGCCGGCTGGACGAGGTGGGTGGCCGCCGCCGCGCTCCGGGCGACGCTGGTGTCCGCGCCGCGCTGGTCCTCCTCTCCGCGGTCCCCTCGACGGCCGAACCCCAGCCGTCTGTCGGCCGAGGCTCGGCACCGCCGCGCGGGTCTGCTCCAGTGGCCGTCGACTGGCGCTGACGTGTCCGGTTTTCAGTCGACCGCTGCCGACGCGCCGCCGCCGCTCTCGGAGGCGCCGCCGCCGCCGCCGCCGCAGGAGGCGCCGCCCGTGCCGCCCGCCCGCCGCCGACGACGACGGAAGCCCAATGATGTAATGTCGGTCGCTGCTGCTGCTCGGGTACCCGTGCTGGAGAGGGCGGCCGCTGCGGGAGCGTCGGTCGCTGCTGCTGCTCGGGTACCCGTGTTGGAGAGGGCGGCCGCTGCGGGAGCGTCGGTCGCTGCTGCTGCTCGGGTACTCGTGCTGGAGAGGGCGGCCGCTGCGGGAGCGTCGCCGGGACGGCTGCTGACTGCTTGCTCGACCGGGCTATCGCTTGTTGCTTTGCAGAGGGTTGGAGCTTTGCTTGACAGATTCGAGCACGTCTGCGCTGTAAAACTTATGTGAATTACTATCTGTCTTGCTTCGCTAGGTCGCGCTTTGCAAACGCCTATCCTGAGCTGATGTTGATCAATATGGCCCTGTCTGGAAAGTTTCTTTTTTGTCCAGACAACGTACAAATTCTTAGTCTTCATTTGATGTAGACCATTCCCATCCTGCCTCTGTATGCTGAACGGATCCTCCCGGAGGTTCAGACGAATCCCATTTTATGAACGCCGTTGATAGCCAGCACGAGGAACCATTAGCTTTTCAACACAGCCCTCATATGTAGGTAATTCAGAGCCCGCCCAATTCAGTGCCAGTTTGTTCAGAAACTGATGCCCACTCCAAACAACCCTCATTTTATCTAGATGCTCCCGCCTCCGTCCACACTGCACACGACCATTGCTCCCACGCTGCCATGACTGTTCGCCATGATCCAGCCTCATCCTGCATATGTTAATGTCGACCGCCCCGTCCCCCGCCACACGGCCCCCGACATCACGCCCACGTCAGCTCCACCCGCCATCCATACCTGGCCTCCTGTTCATCTCGACCGTGCGCACGGGGCCGCGGCGTCCCACGGACCGAGCCTCGGTCCGGGCCGCGCCTCGCCTCGCCTCTCGTCCGACCTGTGTCAACGGTGACGCGCCCCGCGCCGCGCCGCCGCCGGCCGCCGTGACGCCTCGGTGGGCCCGGCGTACGCGCGGCGGCGCACGGGTGAAGGGAGGCGCCGCCGCAGCAGCGCCGATCGGCAGCTGAGGTGGCGCGGCGCCCCGCTGAATGGCCGGGATTGGCCCCTGAACGGCGCCTGAAGCCGGGCATGCTTTGTGAGGGAGAGAAGGCGTTTAGATCAACCCGCCCTTCGCCCAGACGTGTTCAAGGCTGAGGTGGGGCAGATTCCGTCGAGCTGTAGCCATTTCAAAGGGTGGGGAGAGAGAGAGGGGGGAGCGCGCGAAGTAGAACAAATATTTGACGGAGCTGTCCTTTCTCCGCAAACAGTTTTGGTGTTGCAGATCGTTAAGCCCATTGTCTGCACCGTTGAAGGTAGGTCACGAGGGTGGGCAAATGCTTGATCAGACTAAAGCTGTGCTTGGTTACCGCGCGTGACCTGGGCTCCTGCGACCCGGAAGTAAGTTTGTTATTTGTTGTAGCATTCCTAGCAGGCTAATTCCGCCGGAAAGAGCCGGTAGCTGTTGCTGGTGCATTGGCACTGGTATGATATAGGCTGTTGGCTCTGATGGAGATGTCGTTGCTTAAAAACGAAATTTGCCGGTTGTTTTCACACCACCGGCTTTGGAATTACTATTTTTCCTAGGCATAGCTTGTTTTGAGGTGTAACGTAGCCCCTTGCCCCTTTACCTGAGGAGGGTAATTTCAGCGTTTCTGGCATTGGTTGCCGTCAGATTTAAGCATGTCGTGTAATGTAAAACCCCGGTGTCCAATGCCAGCCCGGCTCCTGGTCAGCTGGCTTCACAGATATCTGCGGCATGGGCAGTTGCAAATCACCTCATTGCAGACGAATCACGTTAGCGCAATTTCTGAGGCGTGCTGCATGTTTCCACCGCGTATTGGTTGGATGGCCTGTTCACTACGAACGGACCGCCAGGGACGGTAGCTGTTTTTCATATTTAACGAGCCTCGGTCTACCTGAGACGTTTCCTAATTGTATTTGCCCCAGGGCGAGCGGCAGATTATGACGGCAAGAAGCAGCTTGTCAACCCCAGAACGCTCTGAAAAGCTGAAATATTGCCGCTGTTGTGCCTTATGATCGGCCATGGCTCCACGGGCTAACACAACTGAAACTCCCACCACTTACCGTTTGGTCACCTAGTAAGGCCAAAACATTCCACAACTATTACGGCGAAAAGGGAAACCTCGTGGCTAAAGGCAAGTAACAAATGAAACGGGAGAATATGCCTCACCCTTTTGAGCGTTGGATCACTTTTTTAACTGACCTGCTCAATTTTCTGGGCGTGCTTAGTATGAGGACGCATCCGTAGTCATGACAGGAAAGTGTGCTTTGGTCTCTAAATGTGGCGGACAGTAGCAGACTGGCTGTTCTGCATCCCATGCTGCGCAAGGTTGTTCCCGGGTAAACATTACATTAGCTGACGGGCTCACCCTGCGTCACATGTCTGAGGATGCCGACCTCGACCTTAGAGGAAAGATGCGTGGTGCTCGCCATACGTGGGCTGTCGGATCATCAGGGGTGATTTTTGGATGCAGATAGCAAACATACGTGTGTACACGTGCGTCGATGTTCATTTGCGCTCGAGGAAAAACAAGAGGGCTGTTCGAAATTCCACGATGTATCTAGGCTCAATGGTTTTGGATGCGTTGTTGTATTTAACGTTCTGCTGCTTATGCTTCTAATACCACAAAACACCGCTGGCTACCGAGCAGCAGCTGAGCACTACCATCGCTGCTTTGTCTTCACTCCTTGTATGCGATTACGCGTGCTGTTCGCCTGTGAGCGCTATGACCTGATGATCTTTGAATATCGCGGTGGTGGGGTCTGTGTGCCGTTTCATGCGGATTATATGAGAATCCTGACTGTACTTTGGTAGTTAAGAAGCCAGCAAAACTACGGCTAAATAATTTTGGCCGATCTTATCTATTATGTGCGCCCTTGATGTGTGGTTTTCGTTTACATTTGTTCATTAGAATACGTTATAGTGCAAATAAATTTGAAGTATGATACGGGCATTGCGACAAATTTTTGTAGCTCTTAATTTTTAAGCCTCTTTTTTTAAACATTTGTTCAGACCGTTGTGCTTCGATGTGTTATTTGCGCTCCGAAGGCAGAGCGCTGTGCCATCGTTGCGTCGTCGCCTCCGCCATTCGCTCATTCGCGTTCTGTTGTGAGCACCCCTGGTCATGACTCAACTTCATGTCCGTCTGCAGGAGCGGCTGGCGGGCGAGCAGCCAGGCCGGGCGCCCGCCTCCGGCCGGCCCCCGCCGGAGGACAGCCCCGGCCCGCCCGCCGCCGACGGCAGCTAGGTGGCGGACCCGCCAGAGGTGTCGGCCGGCCCCCGCCGGAGGACAGCCCCGGCCCGCCCGCCGCCGACGGTAGCTAGGTGGCGGACCCGCCAGAGGTGTCTGCCGGGCGCCGCTGTCGGCCGGCCTCTGTCGGAGGACAGCCCCGGCCCGCCCGCCACGGTCGGCAGCTGGGGACGGGACCCGCCGGAGGGAGGTGCCAGCCGGGCTGGGTTGACCGCCGTTCCTCGGCAGGGGGAGGGTGGCACCACCGTCAGGGCGGGGGTCGCCTTTGTGTCGC